TAGCTACCTGCCACGCCGGTCTTGCGAGAGCCTGCGGTAAAGATCGCATTTCTAGAAGGCAACTGAAAAATACGTTGAGAAGATAGCCGATTCACTGGCTCACAAGATGGAAATTAGACAGGGAAAGACTTGCTGCCTGTAGGAGGTTAGCGACTAAACTATTTGGAAGAAAGAGGTAGTTGGAAATATGAGCGATAGGAAAGAAGTCACTGTCAAAAGTCATCACAGGGTGTTTGCATACCGCTTTTTACTCTTCCTGTAGTCAGAACCTAGACTTTTATTCAACTTTCTGTACACAGAGCTGCTGTTTGGGGAAAAAAAAAACAAAACAAACAAACCAACACGTCAGTGTCAAAATCGGTTTAACAAAATCTTGCAAGTTAGAATCCTGCAGGGCTCCTAGCAGGAAAAGCTGAAGCTTAGGCTTCTTCTGATTATTTATTTTGGTGTAAATAGTTTTGAAGACAAGCACAGTTCTGCTATTATAAATGATGTATTTACACTACCTCAGTTCCTGAGGTAAGCCTGATGCCTAGGCACAGTACTGGTTTAATAGAGGATAAAGATCCCACTACAGTTTAATTCTTTGCCTTCAAAAGAAAATGGAACATTTTCTAAATTTTATATGCTTCTATATATGAAGCAACCATTACTTCATACTTATTGCTATTTATAAACATAGACAATAACTCAAGGATCATTCATAAGTGTAGTTTTAGGGGATGTTTTTGTAATGGGATAATTTTTCTGATACATTGTGGTATCAGGACCTAACTAGCCAGGGTACGTAGGCTGGTTTAGGTAGGAGACAGGAAAATACTTCACTTTCTGTGGTCTGACAGTTAAAATAGCTCTATTCATAAGAATTAAGCATATGTCATGCATAAACTGATGTCTCGAATCATTTTAAAATACAGCGCACTATAAGTAACATCAAAAAAGCAAGTAGTGTCAACCCAAGTATTAGATAAAATACAGTGTTATGAACTCTTATTAACCACCCCCCTCCCCAAGCTATCTTTCAGACCATCATAGAAAGCTCTCAGAAATGTACCCTTCAAGAAATCTCAAACAATGTCACTTCTTAATTATAAACTTCAGTAACTTCTAATATAATCTGAAGTAGAAGCAATTGTGCAGTTGCTAACACACATTTATCAAATCCAGAAAAATGCTGCAGGTCTATCTTCTCTAGGATGTATCTTCAACAACCCTCACAAACACACCTGACAAGCATTTCTGCCTGAAGAAATGAAGAAACACTGATATCTTCAGGGTACAACCTTCCTATGAATTACTTTCTCGTAGGACTCAGTAGCTACAGTGATACCTAGAAAAGCCGAGTTATGCTTTCCTGGTGCAGTGCTGTACATTGTAACAATTTTCATTCATTTTCCCCTTTTAAAATGAATGATCTGAGAGGGTAGAACGTTTCACACTAGGTAGTACAGCTTGTACTACGCAGAGGTTTGCAAAAGGAAAAGCCTAGGAGATGTATTGGAGAATCACTAGTGAACTGCAGATCTTTATACTAATTTAGAATAATGTCCTAAGAATGACACTAGTACCACTTCCTTTTTTTTTTTTTTTTTTTTTTTTTTTTATGGGGGGTAAACCAGACTTGATAATTTTTTTTAATTCAAAGGAGTTGCTCCATGCCAATGCTGAATTAAAGGCTTTTCTTCCTTACAGAAATATCTCTCAAGATGAAGTAACAGAAAAATGAGGTATGCTGAAGAAATTTTAAAAATGAAAGCAATAGTTGTGAATCTGTGAGAAAAGTGTAAATGTAAGCTGGAAGAAAATACCACAGACAGTAATTCAATATTAAAATAGATATATTCATTTTTATTGTATCCTTGAAATACAAAATTCACTTAAGATGTTAGATTACTAAAATAATGAAGTTTCAATTTTCTTGCTCAGAAATTCACAATACACCTTATTTGATCCTAGAGCCTTAATAATGGGTATTAACTACTGTTCATCTATATACAAAGTGTCATTTTGCACAATTAAGAGCAATTCACAATCTTTTGAATGTCAGAAAGTTCAATAATGATGAAATAAAAGATCATTTATAATTCTACAGGAGAAATTCACAGACCAGTAATTATTCATAAAAATAATGAAAATAGTGACATGCAACTGGCTTAAAAGCATAAACTAAAGAGCAACTCTTACACGGTTTTATATTAGCACATTAGGACATACTGGCAGAGATGTAGAAGTCTAATTTGCAAACTGATACACATAGACTAGCATGGTCTTTTAAGTAATAGTTTTAAAAATTCACAATAGTTTATAGCAGTACTGAGTGCCAGCATGAAAATGGAGAACATACAATCTGTAAATTAAAATAATAATAATAATAAAATCACATTTTAGCATTCACATTAGTTCATGATGAATTTACTTTTCTTCTTGGGTGCTATAAAGGGCCATACTGACTTAATAGACCTATTTTATATGAGAAAAAATGAGATTATTATTTTTTTTAATAGCAGAAGATATTATCAATATAGCCACAGGCAGTGACAACTCACAGTCGGAGGCTGGTTACTGACCAGCCGAGTCACATCTCAAACTGATCAGTGAGTGCACCATTTCACTAGAGGAACAGCAGAGAAATTCAAGGGGCACCTGCACCCTCCTCCTGGCTGACCCTACGCCAGCCGGTTAGTGGATGAGACAAGCAGGCATTGCTGGGCTTGCAGGGCGGACCCTGCTGCTGAAGTGGAGAGAAGGGACAGGAAGCACAAGGTCTCACAGCCTCCCACCACTCACCCCTGCAGCACCACCTGCACCCGAACGCTTGCAAACAGCACTGCTGTTTCTGCCGAGACGATCTTGCCATCTTAGTGCCCCAGTGACAGACACTCGGAGCTGGTCACTCCCGGGTTCTGCGGCAGAGGAGGTCATCAAAAACCATACTGCGTCCTACGTTATGAAACATGTTTTCCTCGGCGCAGCACGCTGCAGCCTGCTTGTCTCCAGCTGGGACCTCCAGGGATGGTGCACCCTCACCCTTCTATGGTTTATTGATCAGGAATACTAACACCATAGGCCTTTCACTCTCTGCTCCACGGAGACCAAGCCACCCCTGGTCAGACCAGCTGCCAACTCGCAGTAAGTCGTCTCCTCAGCTGCTAAGTACATGGACCAGAAGGGCTTAACATTTCCTCTGTTCTGCTCTAGTTCTCATGACTTTACATGGCAGTGAGGCTTACCTCCTCTGAAGCTGGGCTATGCTAAGGTAGCGATGCATTGCCTACCAGCAAAACTAATCTACCAGGAGCGTGGGTTACCAGGGACATAGTGCCAGGACAAGCTGAACAGGCCCTGCTTTACCTTTGATTATTTTGGTCCCTGAGCAAAAAGAGCAATTAACTCTTATCCCATCAAAACACGGACCCCTTGGGTGGTGTGAAGAGGGCTCTCCAACCCCAATACAAGGACTCCAAGTGTCTTCATGGAGGTTACCTGAAACTCCTGGGAAAGACTCTGACCCTTTCTTTCTTTTTTAGATGGTAGCATTCCCTACAGATTTAATTTTCTATTTTGGAGACAACCTAGTTCTTCTTTTAATCTCAAAATAGATACACACAAACTGATCAGCAATCAATCTGAAATTATTAATGAGTTGCAGCTACTTTCAGCACAGTCCTATTATGTCCTACCAAATTATGCAGCAGCCTGTGACAGTCTAATGCAAAATCCTAAAATTAGAATACAATTATAAAAAAAGTCTTCTGTTTAAAACAAATACCTACTGTTATTTTTCAGGTTTGTTTCAAAGTTGGAAGCCAAAGAAAGATTTATCATAACTGTGGCATGAGACATTTTACAGCTTACATTTAAGCAATAATGGAATACAGTCAACAGTGTAATGATATCAACATTTCCTCTCTCAATAAACCAGGCTCTAATGTCCAAACTGGATTGTGAGCTATGGCTGAGTACAGAATAGCTCCTACAGAGTAACCACAGCAGTAAGTAACTTGAGTGCAAGAATCTCTCCATAAAAACAAATTTTATTCTGTGGCACAAAGCAATAATCAGCTTTTGCTGTTGATTAAATGTTGAAGCAAAGTTAAAGCATTTAATCAACTGCAAAGCCCATATAATGTAAGCATACTCCAACACTGTACACATTATTGATATTATATATGAAGAGAAAATGTTTATCCAATATATCTCACAAAACCACAATTTTCTTCTCAGAGGATTTGGAATATGGCTGTGCCAATCTCTGAAAGCCTTTCTACTGATGCTGATGCATATTTAGGGTATGTGCTTTACATGAATACTAAACAGGCTTCTACACAAATAACAGTAAATAATTCTAATCCTTAGTATGCATGTAGCAGTTTCCATCCATAGGCCATCAAGTGCTTTAGAGATGAGTAAACTTTCTGATTTTATAAAACTTATGCTGGCACATTCCAAAGAGAGATACTTTCTGGGAACACAAGGCAAGGCCTGCAGACATGGCTACTCTCCCATCGCAATTACCATCTTGGCAAATTGAGACTGGACAGCCACGACAATCCTCATCAGTCTCTAAAGTGATGGCTGGGTAGAGAGATAAGGTCTAAAAATCTCAGATCCCGTGCACTAAGAAATTCATTTTTGAAACAAGAACTGGTCACCCAGTGAAGCAGGTTGGGCAGCCAGTATATACATAACTACTGTGGCTGCCCAGGGTTTTCACTCGCTCCAACTTTGACCCCAGAGAAGATCCTATTTTCCAATTTGTAGATGAACAAGTCTGTTTCCAAACACAGGTCACACTACTCTGCCGATGCATAACTTAGGCATAGTAAAACACTGTTAAAAATACCACTTGCCCTCAAAGCCCTACTATTTTTTTGCCTTTTTTGAGAAATAAACAAACAGAAATGGTCAAAATAAGCACAGGGATGTGTTACTAGAAAAACAGTGAGACAAGCAGAAGGTAATTTTTGAGATGACAGAATCGTTTCAAAAGGGCTTATATATTTTTCCCTGAAGAATATTTTTTTTTTTTTGGCTCAAAAGCCAAAATAGGTAATTTAGGCTTGATCCAGAGCCTGTTAAAATCAACAGAACCTCCCTTCTGACTTTAGATGACTGCAGGAAAAAAATCAGGTTTAAATTTCTTTGCATTGCACCAGAGAGAAAAAAAAAGGAAGAAAAGCAAAGCATTCACCCTCAGTACATAAAACTGAAGTCAGAAATGTGTTGCCAGTAAGACATTCAGGCAAATCATCCTCCACCACCCCACACAGCTTCCATCACATCTCCCAAATAAGGGCTGACACTCAAGACCATGAAGGGAACAGAGTAAAAAAAAAGTTAAAATAATAATAACTAAAAATTATTTCATCCTCTATAATTATGTTCCCCCTCTCTCACTATTGCGCTTCTATGAGCAGATGCAGAGATGCCTGCTGACGGTGGGTGTATGGGACCTCCCAATCTAACAAGGGGGAATCACTGTGACATAGGGCTGCTGAGCCCGTTTCCCATAAAAATGGCCTGGATTCAATGTGATGTCACCCTCCCTGCAAATCCTACTCAACTCATGGCCAAGAGTATGCGGGTCTGTCTTGAAGGGATGTTGGGCTATTTACTTGGCCAAACTGTTGTCATCTCACCTCACAAGTCATAGCTCAGGCAGGACAAACCGAGGTTGCATGTCCCCACATCTGATATTTACCTCCAGCCCAAGGGCTTTTCTCCTTAGAAACAAATGGAAAGGAGGTAAAAGCAGAGAGGAAAATGTTTCAAAAAATACAAAGCTGACTGATGAAACAGAGAAAACATGGAGATTAGTAGAAGGCATGTAGGCAGCCGCTCACTTTCTTAAGGACCTTAGCTTGTAACGAAAGGCAATATCAACGTCTGGCAGGAGTATACCAAGGCCCATACGACTGTTATCAAGTCTGACAGCTTTGTTTTCCACTAGTTCTACATCAAAATGAGCCAATAGTAAGAAAAGAAACATCTTCATCTCATTCATCGCGAGGAACCTCCCTGGACACATGCTGATCCCAGAGCCAAAGGGCATTAGGAAATACTTCAGTTTTCTTCCTGCCTTGTAGAATGTGGTTTTCTTCCTGCCATTCTCTATGTATCGATCGAACTTATACTCCTGAAATGAAAGAGGAGAGGGAGAGCGTGATATCTAACATGGCAGTTACATGAGTTGCTTTGTTTGCACAATGGTAATGCTTCTGAAACCCAGAAAATAAGATAAAGAGGAAGACAAGGAGCTGACAGCTTCTCCTTTTAGTTGGTTCCCTCAAGTTTCATTAACTCACATTATCTTCCCTACAAAGAACACTCCTTAAATCCACTTACTTAGCTTAGCCCTTTTACATCCAGCTCCTTCAACTTCCACGTCTCATCCATTGAGTGCCTGGCCTATATTGATTGTAATTAGATTTTGACCGCTTTGTAGCAGGGACAATGAACCTTAGTGGAAGGACAATTTTCTTGTAAAGCATCATACTCGCTCAGTGTGGTACATACATCATGAATAAGGATAATCTGCCAAATTCTGCAAATGCCTATGAATAAATTAATGCATTGCACCGATCTTACTCTTGCAAGCTAGAGCAAAATCCATCCTTCTTTTGCACCCAGTGGTGCAGATTATTCGAAAACCAGACCCGATGCTTTGCAGTCAATTTCCCCTTCAGTTGGAGATGGTTGCTGCTTAATTTGCCACATCTGACCTTCAAATGTTTTTGCTCCAGAAGCTGTGTGCAAAGCAGGACAACCACCAGTGACTGACTGTTATAAAGAGGGCACTTTCAAGTAAGGCTTGAGGTTGCACTTGTAACCTGTTCCATAAACTGAACATCTTTCTGACTGTTTTCCAGTAGCAGGATCCCTGTTTAGAGATAATTCATGTTTTTGAATGAAGGAGATCTGGCATCCTCACTCAGTCAACGGCAAATTAACCACTTACAAAATCCTCCTGCATGCTTTGAATAAAAATGACAGACACTTCTTGCTTATGGTCACTCATTAGCATTTGTCCTGCTTTGCATACATCTGCTATAGCAGCAGCCATTTGGAGCTGGCTGGGAACAAGTCAGTCAGACAGAAACCAACCTCAACTGATTTAAAAAAAAACACACCACAATAAAAAATACACTGATACTGATCTACCCATTAGATTAAAGGCTCTGAAAACCATGCACTGCAGGTCTCACTGTCAAGAAAAAACAGTGGCAAGGAAGGTGGTTTATGAGAAAGGGAACAAGTACAAAGTGCACTGGAGGGTATGTAACTTTGGGTGTTGAAGAACTGGAGCTTGTTTCTCTAAATGGCAGAGGCCTGGATTTTCCATAAAGATAAAGGTGATTATATGTGTGTTTCCACTTACAAGTAATTCTTTTCTGCCTCTTTGAACACCCCAGCCAAAAGGAAGCATGCCATTTTTTTTTTTCCTGGTAAGTCACTGCTTCATTTGAAGAACAGTAACAAATGAAAGCCCAGAATACCCCTTCTTCCTTAAAAAAGATTCACTTCCTGAAATGTAAATCCTGCTGGTCTAAAAAAGCACTGCTAAATATGAACTGCAATAGCTTAAAAATCCAACCCAACCCAACCCAGAGCTCTTCACTTTGTTGGAACGTTTCCACAAGGTGCACTCCTGGCATCTGGAGCAATTAAGAACTGTGGTATTCAACACATAGACATACTGGGTCAAACCTTATGCTTTCTTTGTCATCTTAAGAGCCATCAGAGAGTTGTAATTGCTTTTAACAAAAAATAAATTGGTGTCCAAGGAATTGGGAAAGCAGTAAACAAGTGCGAGACAGGAATGGAGCCAACGACAGTGACATGAAACTCAGGCTTGTGCTGCTGAAGTCCCTCGAGTTGGATGGCGTTTCCTTAAAAGCTAGTTCACTGGCTAAATAAAGACTAAATTTTGACAATAAAGGAACTTTCAGCCATGCACAAGGTCTCCTTGGAAAAGACAGGGTGGCTGATGGCAAGGAAAAGGTGAAGACACTGAGCAAGAACAGGCAATGAAGTTCTGTGTGGATGGCCTGATAAGAGTATTATGAAAATGGAGCAATATCCTGTGATTGATATGAGTCTCTCTCTGTCACATCTCACACTTAGCTTTGTTTGGGAAGCCACCATGTAGGGTTTCCTGCAGGGTTTCCTGATATTTCTCACTATGGGATTTGCAGAGTTCATTTACTGACCTCTACAACTAGCAAGAGTTAGGATTTAGGGGTTCACTTACCCACTTTATAGAAAATGGACTCATTTATTTAGGCTTTGATGAGTGGAGAAAGAGGTCAACAATATATGCTCACACTTACACAATATGGTGCCAAAGCAGAAGATAGCTTGAACTTAAATTTATGTATCCAGGAGAAAAGCATTGCTACAAAATTATCTCGTCAAGCTGCCTGTTTTCCCAGGAAAGTTTTCCCTAAATACATGACAAGCTCAAGACTGCACCTTTCAAAAAATTCATTCTCCATCTCTATCTGATCCTCAGTAGTTATTGTTGAAAGCACACTGCATATTTTAAGAACTAAACAGAACAGTGATTTCCCCACTTTTCGAGAGGGCCCATGTGCTGAAATCAATGTACTGCAATGTGTGGATTGCTCATTCACTATCAAAAAGATAAAATATATGAACTAAAGCTGTACTGTGAAAGCTGAGCAGAGCTGATACTAAGCAGATATATTCAAGCAATGGAAATATGGTAATATATTCCGGCAATTATTGGATAAGGGAGGGGATCAGTTTTCACACTGATGGTTTTGGTCTAGGACCTAAACAAACAGATGGACTTTTGACAAATCAATAATGTTCTCCAAAATAAAGTGTTAAGAATAAAATGAGAAAAAGCTTATTTGCTAGTTGTTACTTTTTAAGGATAGAAATATTAATCAGCTATTTGCCAATATAGGGATTATTTTTTAAAACCCTGATTTTCTCAGCGGGCTTTGTCTTCATTTTTATGTAGGGACAGCCAGCAGAGCCCTCCTGAATGTCATTTCCATTTTCATGGCTCCAGTGCTCATCCTGGTGACTATACCTTGCTCCTGCTAACTCTGACATGCTCCACACCTCCTCTCACAGAGGCTAGTGAAGTTCCTGCTCAGCGAGAGCTGTCCCGCACCAACAAGGCGCTTGAATCTCATCTTTCCTCTGCAACCTCATATACTTAAATTCTTGAAAGGGAGAGAGTCTCAGGGAGCAATGACTCTAACATGGGTTTTCTGTAAACATGTAAAAAAATCCAGTTCCATTCTTCTTTGGCTCAAATACCAAGGATGGAAATCAGCATGGCGAGGAGACAGCCATTTGCTTCGGAAAATGGGGATGAGGAATGCATCATGTGTGATCTCTTGCCTCTCAGGCAGAGGAGGCACTTCACAGCCTCAGAGTGCACCCTCACTCTTCCTCCATGGAACCCTGGGCTGGGGACAGCAACCCGGGGGAGTAACCTCGCTGAGATGAGGACTATTCAATTTGCATGCAGGTGGTGAACTTCTGAAGCTGTATTAAGGCTGGGGCAGGGTGGATTAATTTCCAGTCTTTGATATTCATTAACTCAAGCGTCAGAGAAAAATACAAGGAGATGACACAATTACTCTCTGAGCTTCGCTGCAGAGCAACAGCTTTACAGTCTCAAGTTCGCAACACTCTACTAATTGATCAAGAAGGGGTGAATCCCTACAAAGGGAGGTGAAAAAACATAAGGCTCAAGTAAGACACTGCTATTATAGGGCTTCAGAGAGTCAATGATGCTTTGGGGGCACTTAGCTAAATGGCCCACATTATTTGCTATTTAAACCACCTTCTATTATTCAGCCCTCCTTGGGTATCAAATGATCCACTGCCAAACAAAACCCACATTTAGCCTAAAGTTTATAGTAGTCAATGTGCAATTGTCAATTCCTTTGAAAGCAGTTGCAGTCAGTCTCATCACCATATTTCTCTCTTCAGGCCATGAATCCTTTGACCTATAGGGCCCTAGAAAATACATCTGAAAGTGGGAAGATTTGTTCCACAAGAAGGAACAGCAGTAAAAAAAACCCAACCCACAGATCACAAAAGGCTTGGCTGCTGTGATGTGCCTGGAGTAGGAAGAGTAGCACCAGCTAGATGTTTACCTTAGGATCTTCATAAACCTCAGGGTCCATGTGCAAAATCTGTGGGTAAAGGGCTATCCAGTCTCCTTTCCTCAAACCGACTTCTTGATTCCCTTCAAGCTTGAGAATAAAATCCTCCTGGCTGATGCGAATGTTCATGGAGGATGAGCACATCCGTAAACTCTCGTTTAAGGCGCTCTCTGCGATTAAACAAAAGTGGAGGGGGGAAAGCATCAGAAATATGGGAGATGACTGGAAGTTATACATGGCTACAGCTGCTGAATCTCGACAGGTTTAGTAGGGTAGGCTTAAGGAAAAAAACAGGAAAAAATCCAGAAACCAAACCAAACATAAAGCAGAGACCAGGAGGAGGCAATAAACAACCCCGCAGGGCAGGGGGAGAGCTGCGGTGCTGAACCTTCCGATGTGATTCTCACTGATGGTGCTGAGAAATCCTGTCGGCTGTAGGCAGCACCGAGTTTTGGGTGGAAAGACATTATTCAGGCATCATGTTGAAAACAACACCATCAAAAGACACGAATGCTTTATGCATTTACATATATTTTGGAGGTTGCAAGCAAATACCAGTGGAAGCATCCATGGAGCTGTTTAGCTTGCCTTTTGAAAGCTACTGGATGTAATGGCAGGACTATACATTAGAAAAATAATTTTGCTTTTTAATTCTGTAGTCACTCTGAGGATTTAAAAATTTATTTATTTTCTTTTCAGTGTGCTATGCTGCCAAATGATAGTGTCTGATACGGTCAGAGTGAATGAAGGCAATTCATTATTTGCCTGGTAATTTTAAGAGAGAAAGACACTTTTAATTGGACAAGAGAAAACAAAACATAGTTCAGGCTTAGGGAAAGCAAGATTTCTGTCTCCACCATCACATACTGGAAGGCTCCAGAAGCTGAATGTCCTTGCTTTCCCAGTGGCCTTCACCTTTTGCTCCTAGCACGACAGATTTTATGGCTAATTTCCGGCAATTTATCCTGGCAGTTTGAGGAGGAATTCCTTTGGGAATAATATGCATAATTTGCATAAATCATTCTGATAGCATGTATATCAGCATGTACCTCCTGTCTAGGGCTGCATCTCTTGCTTTGTAATCAAAACTGACTATTTTTCCACCAGTGTGTATGGGCGCTGTTATATGTGACTTGATTCCTTCTAATCATCAGTGTGAAAAATGGCCTAAAATAGGGTTTCATTTGCACATAATAATCCATTTGTGTCTGCATTTATGTTCTGTGATATCAAATAAGCCTTCTCTAAGTGTTCACCAAGGCACTGTAACTGCTGCACCCAAAAGGTTAGGTTTATTAGAGACAGTAGCTACCCAGTGTAGATGCCTCTGAAAAAAAATAATAACAAACGTTCTTTCAGTGAAAATTAAATCTGGTGTGGCATGCATAGCAAATAAAGTGGCCCTGGATGCTTTCTTGCAGGAGGTTTTTCCTTAAGCATGCATTTGTCTAAAGAAATGAGGCTGCGGTCAGCTTTGTGTGGCCAGCGCCGTGATTCAATGTGACGTACAGTGAGTCTGTGCATATTCTTTTGGACTGCCTTCGTTACTATAATCAGGCAGAGTCAAATCGGCTTGTTGGTGACGAAGCCAGAAAAGAACCCTGGTTCCAGAAGATGGCCTCTACTGCGGATAGCCACAAGGCACCTGACACGATAGATTTCAACTGGCAGTGCTCTGGCAACAAAACTTTACGTGGTACAAAGGAAGAGTCCAGCCTCCACACCCAGACTGTCTTCAACCTGCAGAAAATGAAGCTGGTAACTCCACACTGGTCCACCATTTGGAAATGGTGGTAACACACATAGCGACAGCAGAAATCAAATGAGGAAGAGGCAAGGGGGGGGGGG